AACAAGAACACCAGGCCCAAGACCCCAAAGGCATTGCCCCAATCCTCATCTGTCCCATCCACTTCCTCCTCTTATGTCCCACCGACTTCCTCCTCATTTGTCCCACCCACTTCCTCACTTGTTGTGCCCACTTCCTCTTCATATGTTGGTTCCAGTTCTTGGAGATCACCAGCAAATACCACTTGCCAAGTAGAGATAAGCAGCCATATCCGCCAAGAAAGTGAGGCTTTCTGCTGTGGGGCCTGCTGCGGGGCCTGCTGCGGGGCATGCTTCAAGGGCTGCTGTGAGTGTGGAGGGCTCTGCTGCAGGATTGGCTTGGCCTGCTCTGAGTGCTGGTGCCGGCTCAGTGTGGCCTTCTGTGACTTAATGTTACACAGTCCCTGTGGCTGCTTGGTCTTTATAATCTTACTTGTTATTGTTGTGAACTTATTTTAAAATGAGATCCATGAGCCTTGAAAAAAGAACGCTGAGAGGAAAAGCAAGAACTACATCCCCCCAAGTCATGCGTTGTATAATCCCCTTCATATGAAACGTCAGTGAAGTCAGTGGAGTCCAGAGGTGGCTGCCGGGACTGGACGAAGAGGAGAATACAAGGCCACTGTTTGAGCAGTGTGGGATTTGAGGGGAAGGGTGATGAAAATGTCTGGGAATTTGATGGAAATGGTAGCCGCCTCTCACCATTGTCACTGATCTTTCTATCTTGAAATGGTTAATTCTTCTCAGGCTGGATAGATGGCCCAAGGGTTAAGAGCACTCATTGGCTGCTCCTCAAGAGGTCCTGAGTTCAATTCCCAGCAACTACATGGTAGCTCACAACCATCTATAGTGAGATCTGATGCCCTTTTCTGTCTGATGCTCTCTTCTGTCATGCAGGCACACATGCAAATAGAGTGCTCATATACATAAATAAATAAATCTTTTAAAAAATGGTTACTTTTCTAACTAGCAGTGTTTTCAAAGCAGATACAAAAACTTATAACTACACCTTTGGCAGAGTATAGGGAATCATATGAAAGAAGGGGAGTTAGTATGATAGGGAAAGGATAGGAGCTCCACAAGGACCAAATATATCTGGGTACAGGGTCTTTTCTGAGACTGGTATTCAACCAAGGACCATGTATGGATATAACCTAGAACCTCTGCTCGGGTGTAGCCCGTGGTAGCTCAGTAACCAATTGGTTTCCCATAGTAAGGTGAACAAGGACTATTTCTAACAGGAACTCAATGGCTGGCTCTTTGACCTCCCCACCCCCAAGGGAGGGGCAGTCCTGTTAGACCACAGAGGAGGACTTTGCAGCCAGTCCTGAAGATACCTGATAAAATAGGATCAGATGAATGGGGAGGAGGTCCCCCCATCAGTGGACTTGGAAAGGGGCAGGGTGGAGATAAGGGAGGGAGGGTGGGAGTGGGAAGGAATGAGGGAGCGGGATACAGCTGGGATACAGAGTTAATAAAATGTAACTGATAAGAAAAAAATAAAATTATTAAAAAAAAATGGTTATTTTTCTTTTCTTTTTTTTTTCCCATGAGGGCACATTAGGGTAGGTTTGAGATCTCACAATGTAGTCAAAGTTGTTCTGAAACTCATTAGCTAATCTAGGCTAGCCTCATGCTCACGGGAATCTTTCTGCCTTGGCTTCTGAGTCCCTGAATCTCAGAAATGAGCTACAATGTTTTCTTATGTGACTCTCACCTGATTACATTTAAAAAAAAAAAAAAAGATACGATTTTGACCTAAAAAAAACAAAGTCTGAAGAGTTGAGGACTCAGAACCATTCAGAAGTCTTGAGCCTGCGATCTCCTCAGCAAGTTTTGCACAGACCCTCCGCTGTCAGTCTGGGAGAGTTTGAGACAGAAGCAGTAAACTGAACACCTAGGTTCTCAAACAGTGGTCTCTATGGAGGTGCACGTGGCTGTGTGGTGATGACGGGGCGGAGTGGGGGTGGAGAGGACAGGAGAGAGAGAGATGCCTTTAAATGTCCAATTTGGGAGCTGGGGAGATCTCTCAGCAGAAAAGGCTGCTCGAGTGCAGGGTGTTGTGGAACAGTTATCACACCCTTGAGGGCTTCTCTACCCCAGCTAGCCTCCAGATAATCTAGACAGAGACCTTATAGGTCATGATAATCTTTAAATGGCTAGAGCTGGGCAGATATCAACCTTCTAAGCTATTGCCATCTTCCAGCTGCACACCCCAAGTCACTTGCCATAAATTGTTCCTGCCTGGGCTGCTTCTGTTTCATCAGGCCAGCCCTCATGGCCTCATGCACATGGTCCATACTGTCCCATGGCAGCTTCCTTTCTCTCTGGCTTCTTCTGTTTCTCCCTCCCTCTTCATGGTCTCCATCTGACCCCAAGCCCGGGAACCTGAGCTCCGCCTACTTCTCTTCTGCCAAGTCACAGATTTCTACCTACTTTTATTAACCAAACAACTTTAAATTGGGGAACAAGGTTTACTCAACAAAGATGTATGTGAAAATAGACTCGTCTGGAGAGCAACCACATCTTGGGGGCAGTATTTAGCATTTGAATACATAGCAACCAGGGCAACCCCCAACAACAAGTACCTAAGTTCAGATCTCCAGCACTGGTGAAAAGCAGGATATGAACTCATGTAGTCCCTCCAGCAAAGGGGAGGTGAGACACTGTGGCCAAGTGAGAGACACTACCTCAGGGACAATAACAATCAGCAAGGTGATGAAGTAATGAAGGCAGCCTGTGTCTCCTTTGGGCTCCTCACAAACCCACACGCGGGACGAGGCTTTTACACAAAAGAGGCTGATTTTATTGAAATAAAACTTACATAAATTAGGAACAGTCTATTGGTGTAAAATTCTACACTTTTGCCTTTTCCCCATATAGTTTTCATATCTTGATATAAAACATGTACTTGAGTATGAAATAAAATTCTACAGTCGTTCCAGTAGGACAACTCATCAATTTGAAACATTTTTAAGTATTGGGAAGAAAGACAAGAAGTTTAAAGTGAGCCCTCATCTTTCGATTCTTCATCTTTTAGCCTGCTTCTCGCCATTTTGTTTTTTGTTGAAGTGACCCTTTGCTGATACATCTCCTTGGGACAGGAGGAAATAGGTAATTTTATTAAGGATAAGAATGCTTGGACTTAAGTCAAATTACCGACTTAGGCAAAATACCAAGGTACCAATGTTAATGTTTCTTCTTTCCATTTTCTGTGAGTCTATGTATGTGATGTATGTTTCTGCATGTGTAGGGGCACATCTGTGTTTGTGCATGTAGAGTCTGAATCACCCTCTATCATCTTTCCACTTTATTCACCGAGTCAGAGTCTGTTCAAGACAAGAGCTTCTGGTAGGCTTTGGGTAGCTAGCTAGGTTGGTCTGGGCAGGCCCTGTTTCTAGTTTACAGGACTGAAATTTCAGGTGGGCCACCTGGGCCAATTGACATTTCCATGGGTTTCCCAGCATCTTTAGATTTGGGTAGCAACACATTTCATTTTAGGGTTTTTTTTGTTTTGTTTTGTTTTATTTTGTTTTTTTGCTTTTTAATTGTGTGTATGTGGTAACCTTTAAAAATTATATGATTCTGAGACCAAATCAGGTAAGCAAAAGTAAAAGTACCCCCCCTTTAATCACAAATAACCTCCTCATGCCCCAATCCAACAGGTTAGGCTTTGCTATACGGTATGGTAGCCACAGGTGGCTATTTAAGTAAATCACGTAAAAACGTCGTTTTCAAGGCTCATCTGACACTAAGTGTTCCAGGCCTGGAAGTGATGGCATCTAACGGCACAGACACACACTGTTTTTCCCCACCGCAAAGGCTGCACTGGACTGCACTAGGAAGGAGTGCACTTATACACAAACAAGCGGCACCTATGCACTTCCCTCTTATCTCAAGACCATCAGCCACTTCCTATTTGTTTTAGCCTCAGACACCGGGATAAAAATAGCAGCTTTGTACACTTCTCCCAATGGTGCGGTGTGATACAAGAACACAGAGTCCCGTAGAGAGCCCTGCCTTTGCCAATGCAAACTGACGTCCCAGGGGCTCCTGCTAGCCCACAGCCGCACTCCCGTGGGCAGAGCCCTCCTGCCCTGTGGTTCCTGTCCTGTCCCTGCCAGGGGGTCATCGGTGTAGACTCCTCACTCACTAGGCCACCTACAGGAATGAGCGCTGGGGGCATCGCCTCCGCTCTCTGTTCTGAGGACCACTAGGTGGCCCCTCAGGGCAGGATGGCGCCCCGAGCCCATCATTTGGACCTTTCCAGGCCCACACCACCTGAGCATCCATTGCCCGACGCATACATGGTTCTTCTTCTCACCCTCAATACCCAAAGTATACCTTCAGGCTCTCCTGAGAATCAAAATACAACTAAACACATACTTGCCAAAATGAATCTAAAATGTGGAAATAGCAACCTGTTTAAACTCAAGGCGCATTATTCTCAATAAAAATGAATAGCATACTGAAGCATTTTTAAAGTGGTAAATTCCCTATTTCATTCATAACCCTCTAGCCCCTTACTCCTGAAAATAACACATCCAATTTCAAAACTTGTTCTGTATGTTGTAATTTTTTAAAGTTTATTTCCTAAAAATATTAAATATGCGTTATTTAGGACAAGTACATGCTAATTAGTCTATTGCTATTGCTATATAAGCAGGTTCATCAGTCTTCCCATATTTGAGATTTGAAAACAACAGTGATGATGGTAGCTTCTAGACCTTGTCCTTAGGCACAAGCCACAGTTCCTATAAGAAGTAACGCATATACAAAGATCTAGAGCACAGGGCGGTAGATTTTGTGGTCTTCGGGTAGATAGGATCAGAGTTGAAGGCTAAAGGAGACTTTGGTGGTGTAACTGGGAACAGCTTCTGCAATAAAGGAAAAATATATTTAGCTTATTCGTTCACTCTTTTGATTAATAAATTGATTTTATGCGCTTGCTTGTTTTGTCTGAGTCTCTGGGACTAGAGAGTTACGGTCAGTTAGTTGTGAGCCACGTGTGGGTGCTGAGAACCAAACCTGGGTGCCCTGGAAGAGCAGCCAGTGCTCTTAACCACTGGGCCATCTCTCCAGCTCCTTCTTCATTTGTTCTTATCATGAAATATAACCACAGTGTAGTGACTCGCATGGATACACAAAGTATTGACACTCCATATACTGAGTACAGAGAGAATGTATAGAGAGCCATCACCAGTGGTTAGCCAATAGGCTCTGGAAACTGTATGACCATATAATAATAAAAGCTAATGAAATCCCAGCAGCTGGGAGGCAGATATCACCATAGTTGAAACTGATGGTTTTTTATAGACGTGGGGTTGAGGACAGCAGGAGGGTTATAAGAGATGAGGGTTATTTCTAAACCAAGCATGCTCTTCCTGAGTGAGCTCATCCTTGCCACCCCAGCGCTTGGTGCTCCGAGCTCTCCCTTCACAGCCATGCTGCATCTACAGACGGCCTATGCCGACTATCAGAAGTGGTCGGTAACAGAGGACTTGGCTATCATTTACACCCTGAGTCTGAACCTAAGAAACAAAACACTTCCCCGCCCTTCCTGAGTTATCTGACTACCCACCACGCCATATTGTCGACATGCTATGAAAAAGAATGAAAAGCAGTTCCGAGTGGACCCACCTCCCTGGTTTGCCAACTGTGTTTTCCTTTTTTGTGACATTTATACAGGTGTTTGGTTTGGATGAGTTGACATTTTCAGATTTTTAAATGGATTTTTGAAATGGGATCATATTTTCCTATTAACTTAGAATACTATTTTGTGAACCTAATTTAAAGGTAGTTGACTGGGGAAACAAGATGGCTCAGTGGATACAGGCACTTAACTGTGCAAACAGGGTGATGTGAGTTTGGTTCCTAGAACACAGAGGGGCAAAAGGAGAGAAGAGACTCCATAAGCTTGTCTCCTGACGCCCGCATGCAGACCTCAGCACGCCAGCCCCCCCCCCCCACATCAAGAACACACATACACATACAACTATAATGGTTTTTTTTGGTAACAGTCAGTAATACAACCCTCACTGACATTTTAATTGTCTGTTTCCCGCCCTCTGTGTTCTAACACACAGTTGATATATGTACCAAGCATGAAAAACCTCACATTTTGTGCAGAAGAACAGTGCAAGATCAAGCCTGACCAAACCCCAGAATGGACACACGGGAGGTGAGCACACGGCCTACTCCTAGCTGAGGAGTAAGTGGTGGCTGCTGAGAAAGGAGGAGCCCGTTTTCTTTAAGCCCCTGAAGGGTTGGCTGACCATGCTCCGAGGGCATGGCCACTACCAGCTGCATGTAACGAGGTTTTTTTTTAGAAGAGAGAGAAAAATAAAATTGAGTAGGAAAGGTGGGAGGGCCAGGGAAAAGTGAGGGGAGGAGTGACTATGATCAAAATACATTGTATGAAATTCTCAAGGGCTAATAAAAATGAGAGGGAAAAACCCCATGTTCTAAGAAATGTACCATTTTAGTTCACAAATAGTCACAATTTTTTTTTTTTTTTGGTCACTTTGACTTAAGTTGGAGTATGTATTTCATGAGCAGGTAGAGTTTGTAAAGTACATTTTAGATGGTTCTAACTATTCCCAGCTCACCTCTTTCTTTAAGATCTTCAATGTACGCTTTCATGAATTCCTTATCGAGATGCTGGCGATCCTGTTCACTTTCCATTGTCTCATCGCTGTCTTGGGTCTCAGCAATAGGATTGTCCATAAGGCTTACAAATCTGTTGGGGAACATATGGAAGGCAGCACAGTGAAATGCCTCTAATGTGCGTTGGACAGATTTCACAGAAGTCAAGAGCACTGGTTGCTCTCCCAGAGGACCTAGGTTCGAGTCCCAGCACCCACATGCTGGCTCGCAACCATCTGTAGCTCCAGTTCCAGGGGATCTAACACCCTCTTCTGATCAATGAAGGCACCAGGTATGCATGTGGTATATAGACATGCATGCAGGCAAGCAAAACACACACACAAAATAAAATAAAATAAAATAAATACATTAAAAAAAATAAGAGTATTGGAGTAGAGGCAGGTGGATCTCTGTGAGTTTGAGGTCATCCTGGTCTACAGAGTGAGTTCCAGGATAGCAGGATTATGTTAAGAGGCCATGTCTCAAGAGAAAGGAAAGACAGAAAAAGAAAAAGAAAAAAAAAACACATTATTTAATCACTCTTTGATTTCCCTTTTTTATCAGTATCTAAAGAGTGTGGAGACAGTTTTCTTCTGAAACAGAAGCTTCCTTAGTTGGTCCATTTGCTCACCCTCTTTTTTCCACTCCACCACTGGCCACATGCAACTCATCATTCTTTTTCTTCAATCAATGCTCGGGGCTGGGGGTGTGGCTCAGATGGCACAGTGCCTCATTAGAGTGCACAGAGCCCTGGTTTTGAGCCCCAGCATGGCAGAAACCGTGCGTGCCTGCAGGAGGATGAGGGGTTTAAAGTCATCCTCCACTATGCAGTGAGTCTGTGGCTGGCTCTGGTTCATGGAAATGAAGAGCAGAAACTCAGAATCCCGTTTTTTCTTTATCTTGCTCACGATCCACAATCCAAAAATGTTGGTTTTGGTCTCTTCCTAATGATAAACGAAGACACACGCGAAGGCTCCTGAGGGCGGACTCTCCCGCCTTGCCATCTTTCTTTCCACATGAGGGTGAGCACGAATTCACCCCATTTTGGAACCTGTATCTCCTTTTCCTGGATGGTTGTCTTTGTTTTGGGGCTCACCGAGGTTAGGTCAGAAAAATGGGGCAAACAGAGGGGATTGCTTGGACAGTGCCTGGCCTCTCCAGGGCCACAGGGATGTAACACATGAGAGGCCTAACCCACGACTCCCTCATGCTGTCCATCAGCAAGTAGTGTTTCTAGCTTCATAAATTCAATGATTCTATACTCCTCGGGGCTTTGAAAAACCAAACAAACCTCCTCATAGAAAGTGGAGTAGTCAGATTCTAAGGCGTATGAGGATCATCTTATCACGCTCCTAAGAGAGCAGAGGCGGCTGGCTCTTGCCTGTGTCCAGGGGTGCCTGTCCTGGGAGTCCCTCCCCCTTCTCGTGTACTCACTTCAATGGCGTGGAGGCATCACACAGGGCAGTCGGGAGCTCCACCAGATGATCTCCACTGACAACCAGCAAGGTGAGCTTTCTGAGGTTGAGCATGGCTTGAGGAAGGTAGGTCAGCTTGTTTTTATACAGCAGGAAGCCCTGCAGCTCTTCCAGCCTGAGGAGAAGCAACGGTTCAGGTCAGACTGAGTCCACTCCACAGCGAGCTGCAGCCTGCTCAGCCTATTCATAGCCAACGCACGTGCACAACCAGGAGCTTACTCTCCACACTTAGATAAAGTCACTATTTTAAATGCATAAAACTATGTAGATTTTACTTTTTTCTGACTTCATCACCCACTAAAGACACAAATTTAGCAAGTTTGAACAATACAGAGCAAGCCACATCGGGGCCTCAAAAATCAACGGACTCCCTCTAAGTGTCTCCTGCATTTCCCAGGTTACTGGCAGAATAAACAGATTTGAGCAGTGAGTTTCTTTCCATACAACTTACTCTTTCCTCACTGTTTGTTTGTTTGTTTGTTTGTTTAAACATTGAGTAGGGGGAAAGCCACCGAACAAGGAGAATGAAAAAACAAAACAAAATGTCTGAATGAGGGGACTGATTTTTAATAAACCAGTCTGACTCCAGAACAGGCTTCAAAATTGGCTTCAGACTGAACAGGCCTATGTTTCTATTTCTCAGGAAACAAAACTACAGTTCCTGAAGACAAGATAACCTCCCTGAAGATCAGGAATAGTAATTTAGTAACGGCCTTGAAAAGTCCCCAAACACTCGACCAGTCAAATCAAAGGTCAGTTAGAAATGCTTTGTTTAGCTAGTCAAAATTGTTACCTGGACACTTTTTGTTAGCACCCTTTGTTGCCTGGACACATCTTGTTAGCTGGACACTTCATAAAGTCCTCCCAGCCCCTAGGTCAGCACCACCGAATCAATGAAAAGGATTACCTAATCACGATAGAGAAATCCCCTAACTGTCTTTAAATTGAGCCTGGATGGTCACTTCAGAGTCGCCATTCTGTGGAATGGTAGGCCCAATTTCTGAAGAATAAACGCTCCTTGGTTTTGCCTACTACCTGAGTCTGAGGTCTTCTTTCAGCAATTCCTGCGCATAATGTTAAGTTTGTTTCATTTTGCTTTCTAGTTCATTCTAGTCTGGAGACCTGGCCTCCAGATTGTTTTTTGTTTGTTTGTTTGTTTTGTTTTGTTTTATGCTTTTTTTTTTTTCCATTCATTTACGAAGTCTTGTGTAATGAGACAATTATCTCAGAATTCCTGCCATTTCAAACACAAACAAACACAAACAAGTCTCACTTGGCCTCATCAGCCCATTAGCCCAGGAAGTGCCAGCATTCATCATCACAGGGACCAAGAGTAGAGAGATGTCACCTGAGATGACGCTCAGGCCTAAGCCACAGCCAGTCTGTAAATCATAACACTTTATGCTTCCACATAAATAAGAGAGTAAACTCCAAGAGGACGCAGGTTGTACTTCATCCATGAACCCTAGCCCACTTTCCAGGACTGCCTTGTGAAGCCTAATAATATCAATGGCATGAAGGAGTGAATGAATCAATCAGTCTTACATGTTTCAGTGTAACAATCACTTTTTAAAGAACAGGTTACATTTTAAATTTATTTTATTTTTAATTTGCATGTGGGCATATGATGCATGAAGGTGCACATTCACATGTGCACACAAGCATGCAGAGGTCAGAGGTCAGAGGTCAACACTGAGGGTCTTCCACTGTTGCTCTCAACCCAATTTTTTTTTATTTTTTAATTATGTGTTCATGAGTGCAGGTGCCCAAGGAGGCCAGAGGGTTGGATCCTCTGGAGCTGGAGTTAACAGGCGGTTGTGAAATCTTCCCAGTGTAGGTGGGTGTCAGGAGCTGAACTCAGGTCCTCTAGAATAGCAGTTAAATACTCTTTTTTGTTGTTGTTTTAAGACCATCTCTCTTTATGTAGTCCTGTTTGTCCTGGGACTTAAAATGTAGGACAGACTGACCTTGAACTCACAGAAATCTGCCTGCCTCTGTGCCCAGAGTGCTGGGACTGGAAGTGTGGGACACTGCACTGGCTACTAAGTGCTTTTAATAATGGAAATACCTCTCCAGCCCCTTCACTTTATCTTTTGGCTCTTTTTATTTCAAGTCACACACACACACACACACACACACGTGTATTTGTGTGTGCGTATGTACCTGTGAGTGCAGCTGCCTGTCCAGTCAGAGCCCCTGAAGCTGAAGTTGTGCTTGGCGGTCGTAAGACATCTGATGTGGGTTCTGGGAACTGAACCTGGGGCCTCCGCAAGAGCCGCCTTAACCACTGAGGCATCTCACCAAGCCCTCCGTCTCATCTTGTGAGGCAGGGTCTCTCATGGAATCTGGTATTACCAGCTGGCTAGACTGGCTGCCACACGCTCCTGGGACCGGCCTGTCTTTGCTCACACGAGCACTAGGCTCACAGTTGGGAGGGGCCACAGACAGCTTTTACAAGACTGTTTGGGATTCGACATGTGTCCTCCTGCTTGCAGAACAGACCCTTCGCCCACTGAGCCATCTCCCCAGCCCATGCAACTGTTCTTAAAAACAAAACAGCTGCACAGATATAATTTAATGACATAACCAACACACCGATTCTGTTTACAGATGCACCTTAAATTAATAAGTGAAAAGTCGTAAACATTTTTCTCATTGATGTCCTTCTAAGCAGAGTGATGTTTCTCTGTACATAATAAACTTTCTTTTCAAATTCTGTGAAGTTAAATTAACAGTGTTATTCTATCAAAGACTGAAGCTGAGTCAGGAAGCTCCTATCAGAGCTGGAGAGATGGCTCAGCAGTGAAGAGCTGCTCCTCCAGAGGTCCCGAGTCCAATTCCCAGCAGCCACGTGGTGGCTCACACCATCTATAATGGGATCTGATGCCTGTTCTGTCATGCAGGCGTACATACAAATTGAGTGCTCATATACATAAATAAACAAATCTTAAGTAAAATAAAAGACGCTCATATCAGTAATCTTAGCACGCAGGAAGCTGAGCACTATGGGTTCTGAGCCCTTCTAGGCTATAGTGTATGCTCCTACGTCAAAAATCAAAACTAAGCAAAACAAAAATCTCTTTGAAGTTGTTTGGTGTGGCACATGAGCATGGATCGGGGACTTGGGAGGTTGAGGAGGGAAGATCAGGAGTCTGAGGCTAATCCAGGCTACTTTGCAAGACTTCTCTGTTTCCAAGGAACAGAGAAAAGGAAGGCATAATACTATAGCTTTGCAGGTAAGAGTGCCTGCCACCAAGCTGACAGCCCGGACCCACGTGAGAGAAGAAGAGAATCGGCTCCTACAAGCTGTCCTCTGACCTCTATTTCCGAGCATGCACACACCCACTCCGTTTTTAAAAAGCTTTCTTTAAAAGCCAGATATGGTGTTGCACACCTTTAATCCCAGTACTCAGGAGGCAGAGGCAAGCAGATCTTTCTGAGTTCAAGGCCAACCTGGTCTATAAAATGAGGCCAGCCAGGGCTACAAGGGGAGAATTTGTCATTATACAGCTAGATAGATAAATAGATAGATAGACAGACAGACAGACAGACAGACAGACAGATAGATAGATAGACAGACAGACACTGAATCAAATTTACCATGACAATGAAGATGTGTTCAAATGCAAATATACATATATGTGTGGAACACAGAGGAAATCGTCTTAGTCTGTCATTTCCTAGAAACAAACACTGGAAAATGAGTTGATTCCGAAGAACATTTGCGTGCTAGCGCATCTCGGTGCCAACGTCTCAGTGTGTCAGTGATTGGTTTATACGCCTCACCTTAGGGTGCAAGTAGCTACCTGTCTATATCTTGCGGCAGGTCACTCAGATTGTTGCTGCTGATATCCAGCCACTGCAGACGACACATCCGCAGGACACAGATCGGGACGCTGGAGAACTTGTTTGCTGAGATATCGACAAAGGTAACTCGCTTCAGGTTGCTTAACTAGAAAGGAATAATAAGAGCACATCCTAATTACCCTCCATGACCTCAGTTAATCCTGATTGCTAACTTGACAGGATTTAGAATCACCGAGGAGAGGAGCCTTTGGGGCGTGTCTGGGAGGGACTATGAGCTAAATGAGTTAGGAAGACCCACCTTAACTGTGGGTGGCACCATTCCCTGGGAGGGACTATGAGCTAAATGAGTTAGAAAGACCCACCTTAACTGTGGGTGGCACCATTCCCTGGGCTGGGGTCCAGGGCCGCACAAAACAGGGAAAGCTGGCTGAGCATGCGCATCTCTCTCAGCTTCTGAAGCTCCTGCTAACATGCCTCTCCTGCCACGATGGGTGACACCCTCGAAGAGTGAGCCAAAGGGAAGCCCTCCTCCCATGAGTTGCTTTTGTCAAGTGTTTCGTAATGGCATCAAGACGGGTAATTAATACTCCTTGTGAAACGGCAATTAAATTCAACTAATAATGTTTAGAATAACGTTTCTTCCTCAAGGGCATCCATGGATGTATGTGTAAAAGACCAGACCCACTGTGGGTTTTGGAGCACCTACTGTACTTCCTGCTGGAGATGCTAAAACAAGCTGCACACGATGGCTGCCCTCAGGGAACTGATATTTTCGTAAATAAGCAAAGCAACTCATGCAGTAAGAACCTCCGTAAGACGAGTCTCAACTTTCAGGAAAAGAAGGGTGAATTTGCCCAGCAGTTGCATGGAGTAATGGCCAGCGGTCCAAAAAACTTTCATGGAGAACAGGAAACTGGAATTGGGTCTCCCAGGCTGGGGAGCAGCGTGTGCCAAGTCACAGAAGACAGACAGTTCAAGTCTTTTGCTGTTGCGGTTGTTTTGTTTTGTTTGTTTGTTTGTTTGTTTGTTGAGACAGGGTCTCGCTACAAAGTCCTGGCTGTCCTGGAACTCCCTACATAGAACAGGCTGGCCCTGAACTCACAGAGATAAGCCTACTTCTGCTGGCATTAAAGGTGTGCACGAGTAAGGCCACCTAGGAAGTACAAGTCTTACAGAGCATGTTGGAGTGGTGACAAGTCTGGAGGAAACCCACATTTGGGTGGGTCAGCTGACGTGATAAAGCTGTCTTGATCTTGTCAGGCCTCAGTAGCTAAGCGGGTTGGGCTGTTCTGGTGTGGTTTTATATCATCCACAGTTCTTGTTCGCAACATGCCAACTCAAACACACAGGGAGATATTTGACTCCAGTGCAAATCTATGAATGTTGAATAAATTTGAACAAATGTTTCATATCTGGAATTGTTATGAATGTTTGGTAGCTATTATAAAACATTTTTAAAAAAAGGGGGGGCTGGAGAGATGGATCAGTGGTTAAGAGCACTGTCTGCTCTTTCGAAGGACCTGGGTTCAAGTCCCAGCACCCGCATGAGAGCTCACAACTCTGTAACACCAATTCCAAGGGATCTGACTAATGCACACTAATGCACATGAACTAAAATTAAATTATTTTAAAAAACATTAAAAAAGCTTTTGATCAGCAAGCCTTGCTGGTTGCCTAGAGTCCAGTTTAAGACGGTGTGGTACTTTGAATCAAAATGGTTCCTAATGGCTCATAGGGAGTAGCTTTATTTGAAAGGATTAGGATGCCTGGCCTTGTTGGAGTAGGTGTGGCCTTATTGAAGAAATCAAGTCACCGGAAGTGAACTTTGAAGTTTCAGAAGCTCAAGTGAGGCCTGGCAGCTCACTCTCTCTTCCCGCTGCCTGCATGCTGCCATGTTTCCCAATGATGACAATGGTCTACACACCTGATCCTGTGAGCCAGCACCAATTAAATGTTTTCCTTCCTAAGAGTTGCTGTAGTCCTGGTGTCTCCTCACAGCAACGGAAACACTAACTAAGACAGGCTGTTGTTAACATATTTTTTAAAACACAAAAAACAAAAACAAACAAACAAACAACCCAACTTTGTTTGTTTATTTGTTTCATTTGTTTTTTGGTTGTGAGCCTAGCCTGAGCCATCTCTCCAGCCTGTTTGTTTGTTTGTTTGTTAATGACTGGGGTGGGGTCAGTACACACACACACACACACACACACACACACACACACACACACACACGTGCTGAGACCAGAAGAGGACATCAGATTCTCAGGAGCTGGAGCTACAGGTGGTTGTGAGCTGTAACTACACATGGATGCAGAGAAATGAACTCGGGTCCTCTGCAGGAGCAGCAAGCACTCCTAACTGCTGAGCCATCTCTCCAGCATCAAGTTTTGTGAAAACCAGAATAAGGTAAAAATCAACAGCATTAACCAACAAAGGAAAGTCCATGACTATAAGAAGAATTTTCGCCAGGGCTGGAGAGATGGCTCAGCGGTTAAGAGCATTGGTTGCTCTTCCTGAGGACCCTAGTTCAATTCCCAGCACCAACATGTGAGTTCACAACTGCCTGGTCTATAACTCAAATTCTAGTGGCTCCAACTCCCTCACACAAACACCAAGTGTACATAAAAATAAACAAAATTTTAAAAAGAGGCGTTTTCCCATTAGTTACTTTCATCAGTGGCAAAGCAAAGCAAAACATTAGCAAAATACACTGAATAGTAGTGATTGATGAGGAAGGTCCAGATGATTATGGAAATTACAAATAAATCCTAGAGTTAAAGATGAAAACAACTAACCTAAAAATCCAGTCTCAGGATGGACAGTGGTGGCTCATTCCTTTAATCCCAGTACTAGGGAGGCAGAGGCAGGAGGATCTCTGTGAGCTTGAGGCCAGCCCGGTTTCCAAAGCAAGGCCAGGACACCCAAGGCTGCACAAAGAAACCCTGTCTTGAAACACCTGCTTCCCCCTATCCCCCAAATCTAGTCTCGGGAGAAGAGGACTGGTTGCTTGAGGCCAAGCTGGAATACACAGGAAGACCTTATCTTTTAGAGAGATGGGGGTGGGATGGGGAGGTCAGAAATCCAGTATAAGAGTTCAACATCAGATTCAAAACAGCAGAAGAGTCAGAGAGCTGAAAGGCAGGCCAAAGAAACTATCCAACCTAAAGAGGCCTTAAAAGATGAAATCTGGAATGGCTAGATAGCTCAGTGTTGTTTTCACACATGGCTGGGGTTCTGTTGTACACACACACACACACACACACACACAGCTCCAAACTATTTGTAACTCCAGTTCCAGGGGACCCAGCACCCTCTTCTGATCTCTGAGGGTACCAGACATGCATGTGGTACATGTATATACATACAGACAAAAACATTCCAACACATGCATAGATAGATAGGTACGTACATACATACATACATACATACATACATACATACATACATACATAC